GAAGGAAAGATAGAGGGGCGGATAGAAGTGACAAGAAGACGAGGAAGAAGACGTAAGAAGATGCTGGATGACCTTGGGGACAGAAGAGGATACTGTCATTTGAAGGAGAAAGCTCTAGATCGCATTAAGTGGAGGAATTGTTTTGGAAGAGACTGTGGACCTGTCGTCTTGACAGATTACTGATGATGATGATGATGATTCATTAATAAACTTCATTACAAATAACAAAGAATATTTTCAGATGAATGCGGATATACACAGTTATATCATAAGACACAAACACTGTCTTCACAAACCAATTGCTAACCTCTCATGCTTTCAGAAAAGCGCATATTATGCTGGGATAAACATTTTAATAACCTAACATCTGATCGCAAAGGTCTTATGAATGAAAAGGCACGATTTAAAATAGCACTGAAATGATACTTAAATACACATTCATTCTACTCTGTTGATGAATACCTACTGTCTAGAAAATAACTTATGTATCTTTAAAAAGCCTTGTGTGTAGTCACTGTGTATTCTTGGTTTCTCTTGTGTGAGAACTCCATTGGGTCTGTACATATGTTTTGTATTTATATAACATATTCCACATCCTACAGTCATTTTGACTAACTCTGGATCCATGGAATGCAATGTAATGTAATGGAACTGGTCCTTCTTGAGAAGCTGCCAATTGCATAGCCACTCAAGATCTAACTAGAAATTTATGGAACCTGAAGGTCCATTACCATGTTCACAAGAGCCCTCCACTGGTTCCTACGCAGAGCCAAGTTGATCCAGTCCATACCACCCTATCCTATCTCACTAAGATCCATTCTAATATTATCCACCCACCTAACTCTTGGTCTTCCTAGTGGTCTCTTTCCTCCTGGCTTTCCCACCAATATCCTGTATATATTTCTTATCCCCATTAGTGCTACATGCCCTGCCCATCTCATCCTCCTTGACTTCATCATTCTAATTATACATGGTGAAGAGTACAATTTTAGTGTTCAAATCAAGCTACTTGAATAAATAACTTAAATGAGGATTGCACTAAGTTACTAAATATGGCAAAAAAGGATTATGTGGCTATTACATTTTCTTAATAATCAGGTGCTTGCATTTGTTTGATATTCTGGAACACTGATGTAGGGGGAGGGGGATATGCTGTGACACAAAGCACCAGTTTATTTAACACGTCATGCTGAACAAAATGAGCCACTGATTTCCAGCAAAAGTCAAAGAAAAGAGATAATGTTCAACTCGCCATTTAGACATTTAATTATTCTGACACTATTCTGAACATTCTGTAAGCTGCATAATTATGTTCTGTGGACAAGATGATCTTTCACATAACTGAAATTGAAAAACAGTCTCCTAACAAAATATAATTACCAAAATAATCTGTCTTTACAGGACTCAAAATTACAGAAAGTGACAACAAATACACTAGTATATAGGCCTATGGGCATTCATTACTAACTTCATAAGGATATTTCCAAAAATATATCAGTAAAAAGTAAAGTAAAGGTATCCCTGTAACAGGCCATGGAGACCCATAGGGTTGTGAGATGTTGAGGTTCCCATATTTTCTAGAAAATTGGCTCATAGATGGCGGTGCAAAATTCAGATCTGTGAGGAACCATAAATATTAAAAAAGAGATTTACACAACAAAAAGTAAGAAGAGAAGACTTTAGCGACAGTACATGTGAAAGAATGATAAAACGGTAGACCTGTCTGATTTTCTAAAGAGGACAGATCATTTGTGCGCATTTAGTTGGAGCGTCTGTGACAAAAACTACCATTACCGTTTCTAAGGTCATGTCAGAATACATGAATCAAGCGAAGATAACATCAGTGAAGACAAAAAGTGGGCGAAAATCAACACTGACAGAAAGAGACTGGTGTACATTGGGATCGACCATTTCTAAATATCACACTACTACTATAGCATAGGTGACAGCAGAACTGAACATTTGTCTTGACAACCCCATTTCCACAAAAATTGTCCAACAATAGCTTCACAAAATCGACATTCACGGTATGACTGCAATTGCTAACTCTCCGATTACTGAAAGTAATGCTCAGATTCATAAGGGATGATGTCATGACCATAAAACCCAGACATCAGACAACTGGAAATGTGTGATATAGTCAGATGAGTTGTCCTTCATGCTGTTCCCTATATCTGTAGAACACCCAATGAGCCCTAAAATCTTACATGTCTCAGGGTACATTAAGAATGATTTACTTTTCTTACTTCCATTCAATTATGACCTATGGTTTGGTTTTTTTGGGGTAATTCCCCTTATAGTATTCATATCTTTAGGTTGCAAAAAAAGGCGATTAGAGTTATAATGAACTCTGGGAATAGAGATTCATGTAGGGAATTGTTCAGGGAACTGGAAATTTTACCCCTTCAATCTCAGTATATATTTTCTCTTGCAATGTTCGTGGTTAATAATAAAGATCAATTTAAGTTAAATTCTGAGTTATATAATAGGAATACAAGATATAATAATAAATTCCATTATCCTACACATAAGTTGACTGTATTTCAGAAAGGAGTGTATTACCATGGTATTAAGGTTTTTAATTGGCTTCCTCCTAATATAAGGAACCTGGCTCAAGATGTTAAACATTTTAAAATTGTTTTAAGAAGATTTTTGTTGATGAACTCGTTTTATTCCTTGGAAGAATACTTTGATTGTAAATTTGACTCCAATAATTAACTGTGATTATGGTACTGAATAACGTAATGAGTCTTATATTGTTATTTATATTGTTATTGCTATGTAGTGTTATTTGTATTATCAATGACTAATTCCTTATCCTATATGTAGTGGATTTATAGAATGTAAATAAATGATGATGATGATGAAACCTACAATCCAGAACACCTGGTTCCAACAGTGAAACATGGGGGAGGTTCTGTGATGGTCTGTGGCAGCACTATCATGTTACAGTTTGGTCCCATTACTACCCTTCATGGCCATATCATTGCAAGGGTGTAAGTATGTGGACAGGTTGGGTAATCAGGTGCATCCCATGATCCAGACATTATTTCCAAATAATGATGCAATTTTCCAAGACAACAATGCTGCCATTCACACAGTTGGAACTGTTCATTCATGGTTTGAAGAACATGAAGGCGAACTTCAACATCTTCCCTGGCCAGCACAATCATATCACTGAACCACTCTGGTCAGTTTTGGAGACTACAGTGAGGAACAGATTCCCACCTCAAAACATCTCTAAAGCCATTTGAAGTTGTTCAAGAAGAATGGTATGATATTCCACTAGAGACTGTTCAAAACTTGTATGAGTCCATTCCAAGAATGACCACAGCTCTACTGAAGGCAAAAGGTGGTCCAACACCATATTAATAAAGGAATGTGTACAGTATCTGTAGTGTTTCCATTGTTTGGCCCAACCCCTGTATACATTCCTTCATGAGAATGACATTTTCTGTCGAGGATATTTAAGATCTGTAGTGCTGCTGATACTGACCGAGCAACCGCCGCTTGTTGGCAAAGTTAGTGCCAACTTCAGCAGATTAGTTCGCGTGTGGACTCAAGCCATGGAGTTTAATTTAGTTTTAGTTTTAGTTTTAGTGCTGCAGATACTGAAGCAGCAATTAATAGTGAGAGACAGAATTGATGTCATGAGAAATGAAAGACCACTGAGATAACATGCACTAAATTTCCAACCAGGAATCAACCAGGGTTATGAGGTGGCAAAACAGTACATTTGCTACTATACTAACTTGCCTAAAATTCTAAACTCTGCTTACTCATAAACTAACACTACTATTACTTAAATCCTAAACACTCATTAACTGTGTTTTGACAAGAAACAAACTGCATGTTTCATATCCAATAAACTTACTAATTGCTGAAAACTAGTCTTCTGGAATGTGGCGTCATGTAGTCTAGTAGAAGTTTACCAACATCTGAGGGTACCATGCTACCTTCATCTCCTTGGAGGCAACATGTTACTCCAAAATACCAGCCAATTTCTACCGCTGAAGACAGAGACACCATTATGGCAAATTTCTACGAGACTACATGAAATCACATTCCAGAAGATAGTAATCTTCACAGTCCTGGTAACAGGATCTTAAAGCCTTACCAATTCCTCTTCAGTTGTCTGTTTGGCAGCAGTCACAGCTGACAACTGATTCTGCAGAGCTGAATGTTTCTCATGCGCAGTCTTACTTGCTTCCTCTAAGTTTCTTTCCAGTGTTGCTATTTGTTGCATCATTTCTGACCTTTCATCTAGTAGAACTTTCTTACCTTCTTCAAGTTCTGAAATCATCTACAAGAACAGAAAAACTTAACTTGTATTATCATCACCTTCATCACAGTTGACAATCACATCATCAATATAATTTTACTACATAGTGTAAATGTTACAATGGGCTTCTAAAAGCATGCAGTCTTCAGATGTAAATAAAAAAGTGTAATGCCATGAATTATGATACTGTAACCAACAGTGTAACAAATGTTAAACCCTTAACAGGTTCAACATCTTTACTTCATTCTAAATTCTACTTATACAAAACCACATTTACATGGCCCTTTGTTTCTACCAAAAATTCGAAAATGGTATATGTAACTCATAAATGCATAAATAAATGTGACCTGCCCCTGATGTACATTTCTCCCATTTGCCACCCTCTGAGGCTTCAGCACCCCTTGACTTCCAAAATGAGTGTCTATTTTTGACAAATTTCATTTATCAATCAGCATTTCAATTAGAAACAAACCTTTGTAGTTAATTATATCATATATGCTTAAGTGGTAGAATTAAGAAAACATCTGACTTTTCTAAATACATTTCTGAAGTTCATTCATGGAAGCACTTATCTTAGAGACAGGACAAAACTGAGAGTAGAATCTGAAGGTTCAACACCATTCTTATAGACTGAACATATCCTAAGACAACCAATTTCCATTCACCTGTCACAAGTGCTGTTCTGCTAACTCAGCTGGAAATCATAATACCTGTAATACCTTTGAAATTATGTGACCATAGATTGAAAAGAAAACAAACTGTGATATCATCAATATACTACCAAGGAAACAAAGAAAGGAAAATGCATCCTTGAAAGTACCATTTAAACAGTCTATTCATGACTGATTGATGCCTGTCCGTGATGTATCATACAAAGAACAAAGAACACATACAAACCAGTAGACTCTTTTGATTTTTCATTTATGTCTCTGTACCTAAACAGAAGTCACATATTCAATAGATTCCACCATTAAGCAATGGCAAATAAAATACAGAGATTTGGATGACATCAGTGGTACATAATTAACAGGCATTGGTTATTACATCAGCGCTTTCTCACAATCAGCAAGTTTTGTTTAGATGTGTTATACAGGACATGAAATGTGGGTGCTGCTAACACCAACTCTTACTCAGGAAACTTTTCCCTTAGGTGAACAGGCACTGTTATTCAATTTAATTCAATTTATTTCAAATTCAAAAATAGATCCAGATACAGGCTGGGAAACAACCATTGGATATGGAATGAGTCACAGATCAAAAAACAAACATTCCATTCCCACAGGAACAAGTCAAGGCATTCATAGTATAAAACAAATAAAAAAGAACATATCAACCATATATACAACAAAACACCCCAGTTTACAAAAATAACGCAGAACCAAGACATCTTGTTATAGAACTCTTCAAAGGTTTCAGGTGTCAGTACAAGCTCTTCTTTCATTTTCATTACTCATCTATTATTTCCATAAAATCCAATACTTTATGATGTGGAAAAGTCATATTAGATAAATAAGCAGTACAAAGAACTAAGTCAAGACATAAGAATACAACCAGAATACAATTAATCTTACCGACTAGTATATACAAAAAATTCATCCACAGTATAAAATGGGTGACAACTCAAGAATTTTTTTAATTTTAATTTAAACTGTTTAATATCTTTCTATAATTGCTTCAAATTTAGTGGGAGACAATTGAATAGTTTGATGCCCATATAATATGAGCCTTTTTGATATAATGATAAACGAGTTGGGGGTTGATATAGATTTAGGTTGAATCTGTCTAGTGTCTCTATTATGTATATCAGATACAAAATAATACTGATCCATGCTATCGACCAAAAAAGATAGTAGTAAATAAATATACAAAGATGAAAGAGTAAGAATTTTTAGAGTAGTGAATATCGTTTTACACGAGTTTCTATTACCAGCACCAGTTATTAGTCTTACCACCCTCTTTTGCAAACGAAAGACATTGATGGCGTATGAAGAGTTACACCAAAAAATGCCATATCGAATAACAGAGTGAAAATAGGCATAATAAACCATCAGCAAAGTTTCCTGATTCACAAATGGTTTTATGACTAGGACTGCATAGCACACAGAGCTAAGTTTCGGGATAAGTGAGTCAATATGAGTTTTCCAAGTCAGAGTATTTGCAATATTAACCCCTAAGAACTTTAAATGGTTGAGTTGGGTATTTCCATGTTATCATATACTATCTTTATCTCATGTTCATGAATATTTTTTGTATTAAACTTGACAAATTCAGTTTTAGAAAAGTTTAAGAACAATAAATTAGCATTAAACCGTAATTTTAATTTATTGAGAACTTCAGTCACACTATGCAGGAAAATTAGAGGATCTGGATTGGATATAATCACACTAGTATCATCAGCAAAGAGGACAGGATAGGAAATCCTATTTAATACTAGAGGCAAATCATTACTATAGATCAAGAATAACAGGGGACTCAAAATTGATCCCTGTGGGACACCATGGGATATTAAGCCCCAATTTGAATAGGTATTTAGGTTACTATCATTACCTTGTAATTTAATTCTCTGGAACCTTCCTTTAAGATAAGATGCTATCCATTTATGCATCGGACCCGTAATACCATAGAATTCCAACTTAGATAATAAAATCTTGTGATTGACACAATCAAGGGCCTTTTTCAAATCACAAAATATTCCACCCACATTATGGCCAGCATTTAGGGCAGTTAAGGTAAGGTCAAGCAATCTATTAACGGCCTTTTTAGTGAAAAAATTAATTTGAAATCCAAACTGTTCATTGGCTAAAACACTGTTGACAGTCAAATGATGACATACGTCTTACAAACACCACTCTCTCAAATATCTTCAAAAAGGAAGTCAGTAAGGATATAGGCCTATAATTATTGATAAGATTTTTATCACCATTTTTATATACAGGTTTTCTTATGTGCAGATAGACAGACATTATGAAACTAATGATTTCTGATATTTTAGTAACACACACCTAAAAATATTTACAAGTTATATTTATATTGTGCAATATGTGTTCACTTACGACTTGGCTGTGTTCTAACTTTGACCTTATCTTTTCCACATCTTTCTTCCATTTATCTTCAATCTTCTTTTTATCCTCTTCTACTTCTGCTGTAAGCTCAAAAAGACTAGTTTCCAATGAAGCTTTCTGTACACCCAATACTTGGAGCTGTTCTTCCTTTTCTTTCAAGTTTTCTTTTAATGAACTGAATTCAACAGCTAATTTAGCATTTTCCTTGGAAAGAGGATAAAATAGATATATTGAAATGCACCTACAACATATTTCTATATAATAAGTAACAAAGTGAACAGTATAAGGACCTCACATGAAAATAAAACTTCCAGAAAGTCTGGTATTCTGACAGTGACAGATAATGAAGAACATGACCATAAAGGTAAGACAGGTAAAGTGATCCCCCAGATCCACCACACCTTGCTGCCTTGCTGTATCTTGGGACATGCAGATATTTTATGACTTTGGCAACAGACATAATGCATGTGATTGGCCAGCACCATGCTCCTGCTACCTTTACCACCATGGGAACTTCAAATAGGACTGAAGCTAGAAGGTTCCAAAGTTATCCTGGAGGTAATAAGCAATGAGAAAATTTCCTACTTGCACCTTCCTGCTATCCAACCCACAACCAGCCTACACATACAGTATTTATAACCCACTAAGATACCTGCTGGACTGTGGGAAAAGTACAACAGAACCTGAATTGAAAGACACTGCTATCCCAAATACAGCAATGACTTGCAGAATTCTGTAGCCAAGAAAAGATTAAATTCATTTCCCATTTTGTAAAAACAAACATATTAAGTTACACACAAAAGTATTCTAAGTTAACTGCCAATGATATCTGCATTCTTTTACTGTATTTGTTCCATTAAGCACAGTATATACTTCAATTCCCCTCGTTGGTGTCTCCACCTTATCGTGGTGAGGGAGTTTGAGTATGCCAAGGACCCTGAGAGCTATACCAGTGGTAGCGTAGCTACTGGCAGGGCCTCCCTTGCTGGACAGGTCAAAGGGTAGGCATCAGACGAAGAGAGACACCAAAAACCAAAAACTGATGCCGGAAGCAGCGTCATCAGCAGCGACTTGAAGCACAGAGCAAATGATGCTCGAGATGGTTCAAGTTCATACAGCAACAGAGCGGTTTGAACGGCAGTTGTACTGCGATGTGGAAAGTAAATANCAGAGGGGCGGATAGAAGTGCCCAGAAGAAGAGGAAGAAGACGGAAGATGATGTTGGATGACCTTGGGGATAGAAGAGGATATTTTAATTGAAGGAGAAAATTTAAGATCGCATCAAGTGGAGGAACTGTTTTGGAAGAGACTGTGGACCTGTCGTCTTGACAGATTACTGATGAATGAATGAATGAATACTTCAATTAATTCCATCAGTTGTGTACACACAAATTTTTACAATCAAATTTCTCTACTTTAATACACAGTCAGATCCCACATTTGAAGGGTTAAGCTCCTGAAGATCTTAAAACATGGATATCTGTGAGCCATGAATTTAAGATACATAAAATATTAATACACTGTGTTAGGTATACAGTAAAAGGATGTTAGGCATATTCAATTCCATGGCACAGACAACAGTACAGCGCAAATTCACTTTTTAATGTGGAAGGAAATTTTGGGAAGCTTCACAGTCAATAAAATAAACCTGGATCACAACTAATAATCTGTGGCTGAAAGAAACATGAATAAATAACAATGATCAACAAAAGGTTGACATACAGATAGCTTTCAGGAGATCTATGCTTATTTTTTATACTGATTACGAAATTGAATATGGAATTTGTGTATCACTTGCAGTTTTGGATTGACACGTGAATTTTGATTATTTAGGAATCAGATATGAATAAAAATAGGAGGATGGAAAAATATGCTGCTTGTTCCTCCTCTGCTTTCTACAGTTCTGAAAACTACCACTTGCATGTTCACCTTTAGGTCATATCTTACTTGTTCAGTTTTTTTATACAGGTTATATGTTGACATTAGTTAGTTATTTGCTTGATACTGATCAGTGAACTGTGTGTATTTGCTGTTGTAGTATGAGGTAAATAAAGTGATTTTCCTGGTGAAACCAGGCCTCAACTGAGAAGAATGTCCAGTCTGACATGTGAGCATCATTATCCACTATTTCCAGAAACCATTTGCAGTAATGTCTTTGGTTGTCACAGTCTGGTGGCAACAGAAGATATATGACATGCACTTTGCATGGAAACATTTGTAATTTCTTCACTGCTTAATGACAAGCACTGTAGGACATTCTTGTTTTCTGAGGAAGTCCCCACATTCAACAGTGCAGGCTTGCTGTCAGTCTCACTAACCTGTGCTAACAGTCCTTAACGACAACAGTGGCCAGGGTAACATGCTTCACAACATTCAGATTCCATGCCTCACTGAACACTTTCACAAGATGCCAAATTACAGATTTTGTGTGTGCTTTACAACATCAAAGCTGCTGTCAGAAAAAACTATGCGCGGTTATATACCACTCAGTTTTCATGTAACATTCCACCATGAACATGTTCTCCTGTACACTAATCAACCATATTTATTTACTGCTTGCACTCTGTATGTCCATTTATGGCATCACCTCCTACTGACAGATGACAAGATTCATGCAGGCAATAATGAGTGGTACTTCTAAATTTCATATTTATAGCACTCTTTTACACAGAGTTATTCAAATTTTCACGATTTCTAAATAAAAAAATAAAAAAGATCAAAACGAACTGAATCCCAATGCCTGCTGGACAGAAAACTGCTGAGTCATGCAGGCATACAATTGAACATGCATGAACTCACCAGTGTTTTCAGCCGCACTACAAAGACGTGAATTCAGTACTTGTCACATTCTCTGTATAGTTCATTCACATCATGGCCAGATTTAATAATTTTAAAAAGTCTGAACAAGACATGAGGCACACATTATATGCATTTGTGTAGACAGATAGAAACTGGCAGGACAGAATGTGTTAACACCAATATTCCCACATTCAGTACATCAAGGCTGTTCAAATACTGTTATATTTTAATTAAAGTTGATCACATTTCAGATTGGTGTTAGAAAACATTTCATAATGAAAACATGAATCTCATATTAATCATATATCTAAGTACTTGGTTCATAATTTACATGTACCAAACACTGCCAATTTATTGGCCCCAATTAATGGTAGTAACAGTGTACAGGTAGCACAAAGAAGTGACAACATGAAACTTACCTCCCTCAGCTGTGAGCCATAAACAGTCTTGACCTCAACTTCTGCACACAAATCTGCCACTTGAGAAACAGATTCCTTTAGTTTTAATTCTGTTGCAACAAGATTTATGTTGAGTTGATCAATTTTTGATTCCTGCTCCCTGAGTTTATCCTCTAATGACTTATTTTCTACTTCAAGTTCATCTAATCTTCTTTCATATGTTTGCAAAATGTCATTCATATTGTCAATTTTTTCACTGCAACGAGTTATTGATGAAGACTTTTCTTGCAACAGACACTCCAAATCATGAATCTTTTGATCACACACATCTTTCTCACTTTTAAGATGATCACTGGAAGAACGAAGTACTTGCAGAGCATTTTCCTATTAAAAACAGAGGCAAAAGAAATGTGTACTATCTCATATAGATGTACAAATTCCTACATGAACTTAAATGCTGGAATGTGTGTTTAAATTTGAGTTCAACTTCAAACTCTTAATTCTTTTATACACAGAAAACTCCCTGTTATCAGGAATGTACTGGGGATGGGGTATGGTAATTATATCCAGTTGTATAAGGAAAGCTCTTAAAAAACTCATTTTTCACATAATTTCTGCCTTGTTAAGTTCTGATATTTTTGTTCTTCGTTTCAAAATCAAAATAACAAGTTTTCACTTCAGTTCTTGTGCATGTGTTTTCTCGGGAGATACAGTGGATTGGTGGGTGAAAGATTTAAGACATACTGAAATGTGATAACAAAATCAACTAACCGCTCCTGTAATTGTGTATCACTACAACTACAATGGCACCTGCATAAAGCACTCAGCTACCAGCACCTGGGATAGCTACTGCATGGCAGGTGAACATATACATGCTGCAACTCTGTTTCTGAAGTAACTTTATAAAATGGTGCATTTTCTTTGAAAATTCTGGTGGTTGCATAAAATTTCCAGATGCTTGGTTATCAAATAACCCTGAGTTTACTGTATTGAGACTGTGATTCCTATATATTTCAGGCTGAAAGACCTGTAAATCCAAACACAATAACCTTGAAAGCATACACGAAAGCATACACAGCAGGATATAATGCTAGGAATACTGCTCAAATGAGAACACAAGACCCTTCTTTCATCAGTTTCTTAACCCTTCAGCGTGGGCATTTAAATATCGCTGTTGTGGGGCCTCCTGCGGTAGTATTTTTTAATTGCTCATTTAAATTTTTCTCTAAATTATATTATGTATCATAACTTTTGAACTATATGAGATATAATTATGAATTTTTCACTGAAACCATCTTAAAAGATGGTTTTATAATCTTACCTTATAATATGAGGACCCTGTATCTGAGCGATGGAAGCAAGTGGATTAGAAGTTGAGTTTCGTATTGTATTTCTTGAAACGTCCATCTAAACACAAACCTGCCTCACATTCACTACACCAATATATAGATTCTTCCCTTTTACCATGTTTTGCACACCACACATCTCTTTTGAGGCTTTGCCTTTTTTCCTATGGCTGGAATACGCTCCAGGAAATGTCGTTCTGTGAGTCTTTCAGGCAGCGGCTCAACTGATGGATGGCCGTATATAGGACGAAGAACACCAGAACCGTGTTTTTCCATGAGACCTTGTGCTAGTGAAAGTCTCAACTTTAGTGTGTCCATGTTTTTGTTATTTGGGAGACACCGATATATGACCATTGCGTTATGTATTGCTACACTGAGTAGCCTTTTGAACAACCTCTGATACCACTTTATTATTATTATTATTATTATTATTATTATTCTTGGAGGGGGTGGGTTTCCCCATGCACCATGACCAGTGGTCTACTGTACGTCCCCCTGTAATATTCTACCAGTCTCTATACCCTACCGATACTGGTACGTGCCATCAGTCCTGACTCAGCCAGCGAGTTCGGCCTCTACTGGCTCAGCGGTATCTAGATGTTTCCCCCATCTACCAGAGGCATTAGAGACTATTGTTGGGCAGGAAATGTCCTTAATAATTTGGCTCAGAGGCCTCCTTGAGGCATGACGTTCTTTTACGTGCCATAAAGCTACCACACGGGACCCACGGCTTAAAGTCCCTCCTGGAGGACTTGTTCCCTGAATTTTTCCGCCCTTAAAAATTCCACAACCTCCGCCAGGTTTGAACCCATGTACCTTGAGTCATGAGGTGGGAACATTACCCCTAGACTACGGAGGCCGCTTCTGATACCACTTAGTACTCTTCTTTTGTTCAAGCAAGTACGGCTGTAGCATTTGATCCTTCAGATCCACTCCCAGCATGTTTCTGTAGTAATCACAAACAGCTTTATTCACGCATATCATCTTTGTGGTATGTTGATATCACAGTCACTCGCTGATACTACTGCGAGGTCACGCGTTTATTTTTAGACTGACTGGCAGAGCTGCAGGAAATTGAATGTTATGTTTATACGAACAGAGAGCACATTCTTTTCACAACAGCCCAGTGCAATCATCATCACACTGACGTGGTTCATTCCATATTTATGGGCCTTCAAAATTAAGCTTACAGCTCGGCATGCTGTGTACAGCAAACCGCAGGTAGGACCATTTAAATACCAACGTACCATGTACGGCAAACCATGCTGAAGGGTAAATTATATCATTACATACATATATACATATCCTTTATTTTCCATAAATATCCGTATGGGCAACAGACCCAGGATGTAGAAATAGTCATGTAAATTCATAAAGCACGCTCCTATATATCAAAATCTATGTACCGGAAGGTACTAATCGATAATACAATTCATAGGTAGTACAGACTGGTGACAGAGATGAAGCACACATACAGAGCCTTGTAACTGCAATATTATGATATGGGGCACAAAAGTTACTGGACTAATCTCTCTTTTTAATGGAGTGAAAAAATCCAAAATTTTATAGCAATAAAAAATATTTATCATTCACTGTTGGCAGCATTATAAGAGGTAGTTGTGCTTGTGGTTAATTTTATTCAGTAAACCTTGTTCGTGTGTTTAACACAACAATTGGTTGTGACATTTTAGAATAATAATTTAACGTTCAATTCTGTGTGAAAATTTGGAAGATTAGCAGCTACATCAAGAGAACATGGGAGGTGAGTCAGCCGAGTAATGGAAAAAATTCCATTTACTTGTAGAGCACAATGTGCTTGCACAATATCATATTAAAGAATACAGTGATCTGGCCAAAGATTTGTTGTCTCCACCTAAGTGTCTCAGGTATCAAAGAACTTACACTCACTAAACATCTGGTCCACAGTCTGACCAACAGAAACAAATTCTCAATGGAAAATTCACTGAAAGTCAAAAAAGCAAATAAACACCATATTCACTTCTGACTCTGACAAGTTTGATGAGCTAGCAGATTTCCATTAGTGACTTTGCCAATGAGCCTCTGGATCATACTGAAAAAATCTATGATTCATTATCAGCAATGACATGCCTAACAGGATTGTCCTGTCTTGAACACCATAAAGGAGGTTAGAAGAATACCTTTCATATCAATTTCTGAATGTTAGTCAAAATGTTCAGAACCATTTTTGCAAAAATCTTTTCAGATGTGTCACTAAAACACATCATTTCTGTCACATCTTTGAATGTTCTGTCATTAATATAGCATTCATTCTTCCAATAATTTAAACAAATATTTTCACTCTCTTGACAAAGTTATATTGATGCCATACAGTCTAAGTTACAGACAGCAACATTAAATAAAAATAAAAAAAAAATTATCAGTTACAGAACAGTAATCACATCTTTCTTCATTCAAGTTTTCTCCACCTTCTCAGAATCTGTGAAACCATTCAAAGGCATGTGTTCTTCATATAACCCCACTTCAATAGCACACTTTCAAGATCGTGTACAACTCTATCCAAGTTTCACACAAAATTAGAAACAAATATGTTCTTCTAAAAAATGTCCACCAATTCTATGATGAAAACACATAAACGATTTAATAAGTGATCACTGGATGAAACAAACCACCATCACATATACAAGCACTTACAATACAACAACCAAAAAGTCATAAAAATGTTTTTCACAGATAGTAAATTTCTTGTGTCAGCAAAGAAAAATTAAATCTGGAAATCTTGGTCATACATTGCAATGATGGGATCACTTGTTACATAGTCAGTTGATGACTGCAGTAAATTGCATACTCAAGGACAATCATAAAGGGAGTGAGGCAATGAAGAGTCTAAGGAATGATGGAAACTAATGGCCAAACAGTCTGTAAGAGCTAACAATATGACAATGCAGTAGTAAGAACACTAAGACAGTAGGGGTGACTGATCATAACCCCTCAAAATTAGGTTAGCAGTGAGATTTCACTTAAAATCTTTGGAAAAACATTCCATAGGCATATGGTCAAGTGATCCACTGTAACCAACTGGCATGCTAATGGCACAGAAAGATGCCTTGAAGCCGCATTTATGATCACCTGTTATTGCTTGTAGGTGAACTGAAGAGAACTACCATGGAAGTTACATAGTATTTTTTTAAGTTGGTTATTTAATGATGCTGTCAGTACCAATAGGCTAGAAGTCATAGGTTTATATCTCAATGTTGACATAAAACACAATGCAATGGAATGCTTCAAATCATATAATTTGTTTACATTTTATGCATACTACATTGTCCAAAAAATTAAAAACCTCACCTTCTTATTTAAGTCATCTGTTAACCTGACGACCTCTTTTTGCAATTCTTGAAGTTCAGTACTCAGAGAGTGTATCTTGTTTTCATGATTACCAAGTTGTAATACCATGCCTTTATTACTTTCTTCTAAGTCATGGACTTGAGCTGTTGCACCTTCCAGTTTTGTTGACATATCTTTCGCATACGTGGCATGGTACTGCATCTGCTCTTTCAACTCCTTATTCAGTAGCATCTGTAACAAATGCCCCAAAATTCATCCATAACAGCAATACATATAATTATGTGATAGAAGCTTTTTCAGTGGCCATGGTTTTAGGTTGTTCTACAGCCATCCTATCTGGTACAGACTCCTGGTGTGAAACATTTTTTACAGTTGTTCTACAGTCTTTCTTTGTCAGCCATCTTGTGTAAACTAATGCATGAGCTGGAACAGTGCAACATCAGCAAGCTGGGCAAGAGTAAGAACTAATTTCCATGATCCGGCTGCACCAGAGCTCAGGAGGTTAGGCACTGGCTTCCCACCGTGGCAGCCCTTGCTCAAGCCCGGGTCTGGTCTTGTGGATTTGTGGTGGACAAAGTGGTGCTGGGGCAGGTTTTCTGATTACTTCAGTTCCCCCTGCGAATCTTCATTCCACCAACTGCTCCACAATTATCATCATCAGGGGCTGGTACAATAGGCCAGTAATGGCCACAGTATGAAGCGGACTCAGTCTCATCACTGATTTCCAACATCTACTGTAAGTATTACCATGTTACGAAACATCATTCATTGCATGGCTGAATATTTAATACTAAATCAAATACTGGATCATTTCATGTGCCACCCTGTACTATGGCCTAGTATGGAAAACCAAACCATAATTACAAAGGTCTTCACAGTGTGCACCACTGGTGTTGCAATTCTGTTTCTCATGGTATATTCATTTGAATAGATTTCATTGTGTTTACAACTTCATAATTGATGTTTTTCTAGCCAACAGTTAATGTTCTCAATTTCAGTCATCCACAGTGTGTATATGTTTTGAGGAGGAAGTACAAATTGAGTTCAAAGCACACATCTGTTATCAATGAATCTACCAGAGTTATACCCTACGATCACAAGATGTAGCTAAAATACATTTGTGTGCTTAGATTGGAAGTTGTTTCATTAGACACTTCCTTGGAATGTGTTTCATTTCTAAATACCAGATGGCAGCCAGAGCCAGGACTGTATATTACAGGCGTGCAGGGTTCAGACATATACATGTGATGACATATTTAAACTAAAATGGTTGTCAGTGATGAAAGTAGCATATTATTTGAGAACAAGGCTAAAAGTATTGCATTCCAAAATCTAGATTTTCATATAAGGGGTACATAGATGATAATACACATATATGAAAATGATAATCAGTCTTTCAAACAGTTTTCCCACCCCATAATTTTATAATGAAACATGGTAAAGATATTGAATTTTAAATAAAAATATTGTGATGCATTGTGCTATGGAGGACATCCCCTCCCCTGCCAGTGGTGACATGGTGGCATCGGAGCGCAATCGCTACTACGGTAACAGGCCAGTCAACACTCTGCCCCCCTCCCCCGTGGTGACTTGGCAGAGGAGCGGCTGTATCAGGCAACCATTGCCACAGTGACGTGGCTGGGGATGCCGCGGTTACTGCACAGCAGGAAACAACTCTTGACAGCATTGCCCAGCAACACCTGTAAACAGGCGACATGGCAACAGGGAAGCGAGGCGCTTTCCGTTGTCTGGCTGAGGGTTTATAATAGAACTACACTGCCTAAGGAGTAGTTAGTTAGTTATTAGAGAGGGTGGGTTTCCCCATGCACTTAGACCTGTAGTGGTCCATTGTGCTTCCCTCTATGATTTCTACCAGCCTCTATATCCTGCCGGTATTGGTGTTTACCATCAGTCCCACCCAGCCAGCGAGACCGGCTCTACTGGCTGAGAAGTGTCTATAATGCTTCCCCCATCTACCGGAGGTATTAGTGACTGCTGTCCGGCGGCAAACGTCCGCAATTTTGCTCAGTGACCTCCTTTGGAGGTATGACGTTCTTTTACGTGCCGTAAAGCTACGACACGGGACCCATGGCTTAAAGTCCCTCCCGGAGGACTTGTTCCCTGAATTTTTCTGCCCTTAAAAATTCGACGACCTCCGCCGGGTATTTGAACCCGCGTACTACGAGTCATGAGGTGGGAACGTTACCTCTAGACTATGGAGGCCGCTGCCTAAGGAGTAAGTTGAAATGGAACAGTCGCCGAGTTCAGTTGTAGAGAACGAATCATGAACACGGAAAGAAGAATACCGGAACGTGTGATTAGAAGTGATAGTGTGAGAAGTTATTGGGAGTGTGTAATACAGTGACACTGGTATAGCTCCCATATTGTACTGTGAATAAGTGAAGACCATTGAAGACAGAGTGAACAGATTATTGTGCAGGGTTTATAAATTGTGAAAACCCGCAACTGTGTTATCAGTAATGGTAGTTGCGACCTGTAGGTTGTTAAATAAACCAATTAACAATCTGAACTGCGTCTTCAGTGACAAAACATGTTACAATATGAAACCTCTAAAATTAAATGGTTGTGGTAACAAATTTAAGTATCAAGGGACTTTTAACATGTCACTGTGGGAGAGATAACAGTCTGGAATATATGCACATAACTACTTAATGAAAATATACAGATCAAATTGGTTATCCCATGTACACAAAATACCTGAAGAGGGAATACTATGGAACTGTACTATCTAAGCATAAAATCTTCTTAAGCAATGAATCACAACTATTACAAGCAAAAGCCAAATGTTTCACGTTCTGTCTCCAACCTGATGAAGATGATCACCCAAGAAGACTTATAATTTCTCAAAACATAAGAACAAAATGACAATGAAAGGGCAACAGACTCTCTGAAAGGTGTTACCTTCTCCTGTGACAGCTGCTGGATGGCAGTGCTGGCACCTTCACCTGCTTCAATTTGAACAAGAAGTTCTGCACGTTCTGATTCTAATCTTGCAATTTCTTCTTTCTTGTGCAACACTTCTCTTTCTGCCTCCTTAATCTTCTCATGCCTTCAAATATTACACTGCATTACAAAACTACATTCCTTTAACAGATATCATACATAAAAGCTACTCCCCATCCATCTTCATGGTGTGGTGCTTAATTAAGCAAAGGGAAAACTTCACCTTTTATACATAAAATTCAGTATTATACATTCTGAATAATGAAAAACAGAAGTGTACCTATGAGATAAATCTGACTCTTTTTTTATCCTAACAAAAATGACCATATACATGGGGTTTTCTCAAGAAGAGTTCTTAACTGATATATTTTCCCCAAAAAACCCTTACTACAAAAATTACACTCACATGATGAGTTTGGAGGCCACTGACTTAAAATTACTGTAAAATAATTTTGTTTCTGGACATTAGGAACTAACTCTATCAACTGGGTTAAACTCAGTAGGTTCCACCTGAGCACGGAGACAGAATCCAGCCTCTGAAACAATATAATAAAAAAAAACAAGGCAAAGGATAATGTCCAGAAACACAATAACTATATTAATATACCACCATCACAAACTTCTAGATCTTATTAAAATGTCTGTTTTCACACATTTATCCATTCAAACTGCTTACAATAGACTCCAAAACACTCAGCAAGGCTGGCTGATATACTGTAGACTTTGGTTAGGAAGGGTAAAGTTAGGTTCTCATTTTATTTTTAACACCCTGTATCCAGAGAAGAGAGGCCATGCCATAGCTCAAGTGGTTAGTTGCTGGCTTCCCACTGCGGCAGCCCGGGTTCGATCCCTGGTCTGTTCAAGTGGGATTTGTGGTGGACAAAGTGGCACTGGAGCAGGTTTTCTCTGAGTACTTTGGTTTCCCCTGCCAATCTTCATTCCACCAATTGCTCCACAATCACCCTCACCTATCATCTGGGGCTGGTACAACAGGCCAGAAGTGGCCACAGTACAAGGGACTTAGTCCCACCCCACTAGCAATAAAAAAAATCTGTAGAAGAGGGAGGTTGCATTACCTCATATATAACAGGACAACAGTGCCTGGAGGAAGTCTCAGGGAGGAGCTACGAAGTGAAACGGCAGTAGGACATGTATCAGGTTACTAATATACAATGTATAATGGTCACAATTATTATAGCAATTGGCCATGGCATCCCTCTTTTGCATATTATATACATGTACACACACAGGCACATGAGCACATGTGCATACACACAAAATGCTTGTTATTATTCAATTTACAATTCTGCTACCATTTCATCCAAAATCCAAAAATACACACATACCCAGCAGGCCCAGCAGTATAACATATGCAGTCACAGGAGTAAGACACAACACAAAGCACAATACACGTGAAAGTAGGAAGAATACTCAGACAGAAGAAGATAGGTGTGACTCGCGTACTGAAATACGACATAAGGATAACAAATCCTGAACAGTTTTAACATTTTTAATATTTAAAATTTAGCAATATATATGACGAATATATATTTTAGTTATTTTAGTATAAAGACAACAGGGCATGCAATGCAGTAGTTCAACGTACATCGAAAAGCACCTGAAGATGGCACTTTAGTGCCGAAACATGTAGTGCAAGAGAGAAGAGTAAGGTGAATAAATGTATGCACTGTAAGACGGTCAGAATAAATCATGAAATGAACATCTGCTTTTATAATATTCAGGCAGAATACTCCAGAATTCTGCCACATTTTTACACTGAATGCAGATGTAACATCATACAAAATTATAAATCTCCTACTTAAAATGATTAATTGGCTAACTTACAGAGATGAATTTGACTTCTCTAGTTCTTCACAGACTTTTGATTTGTGTGTCAGTTCACTCTTTAATATGTCTTTCTGTTTGTAAAGAGCATCAAGGCGTGATTGTGCTGATTTAATACCTTCCTCTTTTTCTTCTCTCTCTTTAAGAGCAGCATCATACTTTGCTTTGATCTCTTCAGCTTGCTGAAGCAATATATTTATTTCATTGGCTCCATTCTGCTGCAGTTTCTGTACTTGATCTCTCTCCCTCTTCATCTAAGAAAGCACAGGAATTTGGAGGAAAATAAATTACTTCCATAAACACAAAGTTACTTCATACAGTTCTGAATGTATCTCTCCAGTGAATCTTTCTGTGACATGAATGAAATATACTTTTGTATGTCTACATGGTGTAACAAATTCAATGAAAATAAACCTATCCTTCCCTTTCTTAACACTTTAAGCTAAACCACCTGCAGCTTCTACACACTTAAATTATGTTACCATGAAATATGAAAGAAAGTAATGTCTTTCAAACATAGCATAGGAAGGATCACACATACTCTTCTTTTGCAAATAAGCTTAGTAGGTGTAAGTTATGATAACAATAACTATTCCCTGTCATGAATAATGAAGGTCCTGAATGGAATTAGTATAGCAGCACTGCTCTATGTGTGTATTTGGAAAAGTGCTCAGTCTTAATCTCATCTAGGAAGTCAGTTGTCCTGACTGAGAATGTGTAGTTTTCCTCATTCTCTCTAGGCAGACACTTTGGTAGTACCTCAATGAGACCAAGATTGCTTCTTTGTATACCGTTTCCAGTTCATCATTCTTCAGTCATCCCATTCAACACTATACAGCCAAGGTATTCTGGGCATTGTAAAATAACCCTCCCAGAAATAGTAAAAGGGTGATCATGGTCTGTTTTGAAGCTAACACAGCATCATTTCCCAGGTCTATTGAACGAAATTTTAAGATTCATAACAGTCTCAGCTTCAAAAAACAAACACTGTACCTAGTCATAACTGAACACAGAACAAATCATTTATTGCAATATACTAAAAGAAAATTATCTGGCATTATTATTTGAGCTAATGAAAGTTGCCTATATCTGACCTCATAGTCTGCATGCAATAAATATTAGGACATAATTCTGATACTTCATCAAGGTTAAATAAATGAAATGTAATGCTTTCCAGGTTCTATTGCTATGTAGTATTGGAACAAGATTCTAAACATACTGTGATGAGTTAATAAATGAAAGGTGTGGATTCTATTCTAAACTGAATGTGGAACAAAACACAAATATGCAATGTAAGCAACATTAAATAATAAAATACAAATATAGAATTACTACAAACTATGCATTACTTTGTGAAATAAATATTCTAAAGTGGAACAAACACATTTTATATGTCAGCACTACAGATCCAATCATGAACTTAAATAAGCATTTCCCAAAGTAGAAGCAACTGTAAAGAATTATCAGGGGTCTAATTATAATAAATACAATTATGAGGCTGCATTAAAGCAATTACAAAAATGCAATTTGAAAACCAAGTACTTCATGGATATCATTAAGGTCCATTAATATTTATTTTTTTAAACTCTTACATAAAATATTTACAGCGTCTGGGTATTCACATCAAGAGAGCCACAAATTAAAAGAGTTCTGAAACCACTGACCTAAAGACAAATAATTTTCCCATCAGCACTTTGGCACTAAGTTCTTTTTATTTAATGTATTAAGAAGGCTCATTCCTTTGTTTATGGCCTTATTAGCACCTGTTCGCTAGGCAAAACACTGACAAGTGTTTGGCCTCCCTCCAAGAAAATAAACTGCTATCACGTGATGTAACTGGAAGTTCTGTCCACATTAAAAAAATGTTATCAGTAAAACCACTTTAATCACTTCATTTACAACAGTCACTAAAAGTGGTGTCCTCCAATAATGACACCCATTCGCTCAAATGTAACAAATTTTATAACACATGCTGAAGTGTACCCTCCATCAGACCCAAGAAACATGACAGTCACAGCCCCCAATAACTAGTCATTCCTGCTGAATACACATATATTTCTTTTCTTCCACAATAATATCTTCAAAGGGCTACATAATTTTGTTCACATACTGTTCTCAAATGTGTCACAAAAGAATATAGTGCCTATCTTCTAGTGTTTATAGCACATAATACACCAACATTTTGGTAATATAATGGCTTCTGGCATGTGACACGTGGAATTTTAGTACACCACTGGTGTGTGTTCTGTGACTGGCAATGAAATTTACAACACATCTGTTACAAGATTTCTTTCATCTAATGTAATTCTTAATGAGAAGCACACATTGTTCAATACTGTATCCCACCATAGTTTAACAAAACAGTGAATTCTCACAGCTAATCGGTCACATGCATGAATGTGTACTTATTGTCACAGTGGCCATGGGGTGGCAGGATCTGCTAATGTCAACACGTAAGTCACCGCACATTGACTGCGACCAGTTAAATGGCTGTTTCAATAAATGCCATAATTGTCGGTTGAACCTCCCTGTATGTGTTTCAGTCTATGTGAGCCATCATCACCATACACATATTTTCCGGTTTACATTTCAGCTATTAGAACTACAACTACTATACACTTGAAAGTTTCAGTAAGTAAACATTGAACCACTATTAGAAGTAATAATATCTGTAATAAATTTCCCATGCATAAAATACAATTAACCCTCCACATTTCGAACACCTGTATACAATTTAAATTGGTACATAATTTGGTAATTAGTCAATCAACACCTCTATGTGACAGTCATATTTGTAAGTGCTCAGTGACAGCTTCTAATGGTGGCAGGTACCAAGTCCTCACAAAGAGCACTGCACCCATTACCATTGTGGACTGCATACAACTTTTGGGAAGGGAAATTTAGAATTCACGGTGTGCATCAAGATTTCAGTGCTTTCCTTTCTGGCTTAAAATCAATGCATGCAGAAAGGCTACAACAGTAAGAGTAACCCATACAGTGTTCAAGGTCTAGTGAAACCTGGTGCAGATCTAGCAACAATTTTAACTTCAGGTGGGGATATTAATATATATTAACTTCTTGATAGTGAAAACAAAAACAAGTTATATACCTTATTGAAAACTTATAATTTAATAAGTATGATAAATTTTCCCACCAGAGTTCAAGGAAATTATGCTACAGCCATTGATAATATTTTCATCGATATTACTAGAAGGGAAAATTATTCTGTAAGGCCTATAATACATGGATTGTCTGATCATGATGCACAATCCATAACATTTAAAACAATAAACATGAGAACACATGCTAAACAATTTAAAATAAGAAGGAAAATAAACAACCACACAATAAATGACTTTTTAATTAAACTGAATTATGAAACNAAATAATGAAAAAATATGCACATTAAAGGTGGATGGAAAATTGATTAGAGAAAAGCAAGTAATTGTGGAAACCTTTAACAATTACTTTTTATCTGTAACTGAAAATAAAAATGCAAAAAATAAACAAAATAATACTAATATTAGTTACCTTCCAGACACTACTCCCATTCAGTATTTAATGAAAACTTTCATAAATCCCTTTCCACATATTAAACTTAAATTTTTATCAACTAAGGAAGTTGAAAATATAATTAAAGCTCTCAAAGCAAAAAACTCTTATGGATATGATGAAATATCCACTAAAGTATTAAGAATGAGTTCCCTTTTCATTATCTCTCCTTTGACTCACATATGCAACAATTCATTATCACAAGGAATTTTCCCAGATTGTTTAAAATACTCAGAAATAAGACCGTTGTTTAAAATGGGTGAAGAAACAAATATTTCCAACTATAGGCCTATATCACTTTTAACTTCGTTCTCTAAGGTATTAGAAAAAGCTATGAGCATTCAATTGATTGAACAATTAAATAACAATAACATTTTAGTGGAAGAACAATTTGGCTTTAGAACAAAATCTTCAACAGATGAGGCTATATACAAGTTAGTGAATGAAATCTGTAAGACCTTTAACAGCAAACACTTAATAGGAGGCATTTTTTGTGACCTAGAAAAGGACTTCGATTGTGTTAATCATGAGGTTCTGTTGTCGAAATTGGAGTTCTATGGGATAAAGAGTAAAGCTAAACTATGGCTTGAATCTTATTTCAGAAATAGATATCAAAGGGTTTTAATTATAAATATACATCTTAATCTCAATGAATTTTCGACATGGGGCAAAATTAGACATGGTGTCCCGCAAGGTTCGATTATGGGTCCACTGTTATTTCTCATTTATATAAATGATTTACCCAAAGCTATAAATGATAAAACTGTACTTATATTATTTGCAGATGACACTAGTTTCTTAGTTAAAAGTTCAAACTATGATGATCTCTGTGTAAATATAAATAATGCTTTTCATAGAATAAATGAATGGTTCAAAGTAAACAAATTTTCTATAAATTTTAATAAAACCCACTAGATTCAATTTACAGCAAGAAATAAAAACTGTATATGATAAAAAACAAATTACATCTATATCCAATATTAAATTTCTTGGAATATTCACTGATGACACAATGAGCTGGAAATACCACATTGAGTATATTAGTGCTAAACTAAGTGCAGTCTGCTACATAATAAGATCGCTTAAACCATACACATCCAGAAATACCTTAAAAATGGTTTATCACTCTTATTTTAATTCTATTGTAAATTATGGTTTACCTTTTTGGGGTAACTCACCCCAAAGTATAAAAATTTTTAGAATGCAAAAGAATATAATTAGAATTATGTTGGGACGCAGAAGGAGGGATTCGTGCAGGAACTTATTTAGAGAAATAGAAATCTTACCACTGGCATCTCAGTACATACTATCTCTTATGCTCTTTGTGATAAAAAATAGAAACAAATTCATAGTAAATTCAGAGATTCATAGAATAAATACCAGACAGCAAAATAATCTCCATAAGCCTGTTGTAAATTTGAGTAAATACCAAAAGGGAGTCTACTGTTTAGGAACAAAGGTCTATAATAATCTACCACAATATATTAAGGATATATCGAGTGACACTAAGAGTTTTCAGGTACAATTAAAATAATTTTTATATTTACATTCTTTTTAATCTTTACAGGAATATTTTGGTTATAAATCTTTTTAAGGTCCGAGTAGCTGTCTTACTTTACAATTAAAAGAAGACAAGGTTGTCAGTCTGTGTTCTGGTTTTTAGATGCTTATTTTAGATATACACAATTTTTATATCACTGTATACTAGTCTTTATTTCAATTTATTATATATGTGGGAACATCCCACATATTATCAGAGCGCTCACTTTTCACCAGCACACGCACTAACAAATCAAATTGCATCCGACATTCACATTTATACAGCGCTTGCTGCTAGCCCGCATCCACATCATTACGCGCGCTAGCCAACCAGCGCTCAGCAAATTTTCGCTCCGCCATCACGCATTGTATAAAAGGCGGAGCACAAGGTCACAAGTCAGCAGTTCATCAGCAGTCTTCAAGCAGTCTACAAGCAATCAGCACACTTCGTTGCCAGCGCTCGGTCTTCGGAGGCATCGGCGCTTCGCTGCGCCAGGCATGACTGCCACAGCTGTCCGGCAGTCACACCCAACTCACTGGGCAACTCGGCCGCCTCGATTCACCAGTAGTCGTGTCCGATAAACTGGGCAACTGGCGTAGCTACCGCCTCTCCGCTCCAGTCACCAGACTTTCACTAGCAGCTGTCACGCTGCGATCGAGCAGCCTCCACCATCTGCCGCACTGCAATCAAGCAACGGCCACACTGCGGCCAGTCCACACACCGCAACCAACATCCCTTCCTACCGGCGTGCGCCGCGCTACTTCACCTGTCAAGCATCTCAGCAACCAACGGTCCTTTTCAGGACCTGCAAAACTGTTCCGAATAAGTGGGTTGTCATTGAAGTAACGACACGACAAAAACCCCACATATAATTAATGTATGTTATACAAAAGTCATTAATGACATTATGTTTTAACCTTTGAATTTTTAATTAATAGACTTGCATAAAACTGTACAAATTGTATAAGGTTTGCCATTACTTTTACTACTAAAATTAACTTATTTATTATATTGTACATGTTTATCGGTATTTTATACAAGTGTGCATGCTTTGGATGACAACTGTAATCTTTAGTTGTGACTGTAACAAGGACAATCTCCACATCCGCATGAGAATGTACTCTCGACAGGATTTATGGAAGGTGAATAAATGAAATGAAAAAAAAATACATAAGTTAACATAGCAAAATATTTTGACACATACCAATGTGTCTGCACAGAAATACATACCTCAGCGTATTCATTCTGCCAGTGTAAGATATCATCTGTTTTTTTCTCACATTCTTCTGACACTTCACCTACTCTGTCCTTCAGAACTTGCACTTCTTGCTCTAAAGTTTGTGATCTAGACAATTCTTGGTGCAGTTTTGTTTCAGCCTCATTTAGCTTTTTTTTGTAGATTCCTATATCATTTTGTAAAGCTGTGATACAACTTTCTCTGCTCCTCAATGTAATTTCCAAATCTTCCTGTCTCCTATACATGAACCATATACATTACTCATAAGAGGGGGAAAAAGTACATTAAAATAAAGAGAAAATCAACAGCTTATAAACATTACTAAACATATTTCATATTCCTGGCCTACTTATACCTTATTTATACGTTATATAAGACAAACACACTGAGCACCAGCTGATTACACATCCCAACGCAGCTACCAGCATATTTTAAGAAAAACAGCTTTCACCACTAAAAACATTACTACTAAATGAATAAAAATATAAATGACAGAAGGAGTAGAGCAAAGAAAGAATGCCCAGGAAGGTATTCATTTCTATTTAGTCACACAATTTATACCACCATCAGTGTGTTGCCATTCTTACTAAGATATCTTTCTTTCCTTGCTGTTGGTTTCAAATAGCTGTTCTTTTCCTACTAAAACATTCTCACTACTTGTACTGACATTAATAACTACAGATTCATTATTATCATATTTATTTCTATATATTCTGGAATCACTGACTTCAATTCATTCCTCATTAGCCTCCTCACATGCATATGTTGTTACTTATAGCTCCCCATTCTGATAAAGCTTCCACTTAATTTCTCTACTTCTGTTATTACATGCAATCCAGGTGTGAAATATTGGGACTGCTATGTGTTCAGAGTACCTAGAAGGCAGCTATTTAATAAAACAAACAGTACTAATTGCAGGCAAATATTTAAAAAATTGTAGAACTCTGTGGATATCAAGAAACATTATTGAAAACACACATGATGGAAACTTATGTAAAAGGTCAGCTGTTCCTGAGCTTAACTAATTAAGCATGATGCCACTGAGGTGTATGGGAAAGTGGATGTATAGATCCATGTTTTCTTGACCTTGGCACTAGCTCAGAAATTTGTGCATGGCACAGAAATGTCTGGCTGGTCCTCGACGTGTCAAGCCAACAATTTCAACTGCATGACAAGTATTATAATCTGTACTTCACATAACAATGAGAAAAAATACCTGGAAGAGTCAGTGTGTCATAATAAAAACTTTAACATAAATTACATAACTATAAATAACCCACCAGCTTCAACATGACGAACATCCAAAAAGAAATCAGAAACAATAGTTCAAGAATGTCTAAATGGAAACAACACACAATGAAGGAATAATATATAACAGACTGAGACTGAAAAAAACACTGACACTGAAACATGACGGCTGACAGCCGGAACAGTGGAAGATGAAAAGATGTCCATTGCTAAGAAATGGTGCTGCAAACATGTTTCCACAGCAACAAAATCTGACAAAACAGTAGAGAAATTGTTGAAGAAGAAACATGCAACAACAGAAGAACTGTTGGAAGTGGTGTTTTCTATATGGTCCACCCTGAGGCTTTACACCAGGGACTGAACCAGAGCCACCGTGAGTGGTTAGCAGTCATGATTTTGAGTGAGTCACAAGCAGTCAGTTCAAGCCAGTGGTGGAGAGCAATGGCTAGGAGGCAGACAATAACCAGGGGTTGTGGCCATGAACAGTTAGTGTGAGACAGGTGCTAGCCAGCGAGGACAGGAGTGGTGGAACATGGAGGCTGAAGAATCTACAGCACTGGCAGCCATGTCCACATGACAACCAGTGAAGACACAGCAGGCTGAGAAGTTTGTATGTGTGCTGCAGTACAGCAAATTGTAAAGTGTGAGAAGCACTGAAATAGTTATAATCACTTGTAGTCCTGGTATGAGAGTTCAATAAATCCAATCACCAATCCAAACCATGTCTCTTGTCATTTTACCACATGATAATATATACATGTATGTACATATGCACACACACACACACACACACACAGGCGTTGGACATGATAATGGAAACACTAAATATACTGTACACAATTTTCTTATTAGTATGGTACTGGACCATCTTTTGCCTACAGTACAGCCTCAATCATTCTCAAATGGATTCAAACAAGTTTTGAACAGTCTCTAGTGGAATTTTATGCCATTCTTCTTGAAGAACATCTTCAAGTTGCTTTAGAGATGTTGAAGGTGGGAATCAGTTCCTCGCTCTAGTCTCTAAAACTGACCAGAGTGGTTCAATGATGTTCAAATCTAGTGACTTTGCTGGCCAGGGAAGATGCTGAAGTTCACCTTCATGCTCTTCAAACCGTGACTGAACATTGCCAGCTGTGTGAATGGGGGCACTGTCATCTTGGAAAACTGCATTATTGTTTGGAAATAATGTCTAGTTCATGGGATGCACCTGATTACCCAACCTGTCCATGTACATACTCCTTTGCAGCAATTCAACCATGAAGGGTAAGAATGGGACTGTGGGCATTTTGTCTAATGCTGTCGCGGCAGCTGAGTTGGTTGTCTAGCCGAAGTGCGGCAGTTGCCAGAAGTTGTTTGGTTGCACTGTGTGGTTGCCGGTGGAAGTCTGGTCATGGAGCACGGTCACTGGAGTGGAGAGGCAGTAGTTACGCCAGTTACCCAGTGAGTCGGGCATGACCGCCGGCGAGTCCGGGCAGCCGAGTTGCCCAGTGAGTCGGGTATGACCGCCGGACAGCCAAGGCAGTCGTGCCTGGCACAGCAAAGTGCCGATGCCTCTGAAGACCGGGCACTCTGTACAAAGTGTGCTGGCTGGCTGGTTGATGTTGACTGAATGCATCTCAGTGTGTCTCAGTGCTGCTGGGTTGCAGCTGTGCCTTTTTATACAAAGCGTGATGGAGGAGCGAAAATTTGCTGAGCCCTGATTGGCTAGCGCGTTATGATCTAAATGTGAGCTGGACATCGAATATTGTTTAAATACGAGTGCTGCCAGCAATGCGATTGGCTAGCGCGCTTGATGGTGAAAAGAGAGCGCTGTAAAAATAGCATGATATGTGGGATGTTCCCACAGGACCAACAGAATACTGTACCATGATATTGCTGCCCAAAAAATTACAGAACCTCCCCCATGTTTCATTGTTGGAACCCGGCATTCCAGATTATGGGCTTCCTTTGGTTTTCTCAAAATGTAAACTCTTCCTGATGCAGGGAACAGCATGAAGGATGACTCATCTGACCATATCACACAAGGTTCCAGTTGTCTTATGTCTGTGACACCTCTGTTTACACATCTGAGCATTATTTTCAGTAATCAGTGGTTTAGCAATTGCTGCAATACCATGGATGTTGGATTTGTGAAATGAAAAAAGGGTCTTCAAGATGAATGTTAATTATTGCTCTCCTATCACCTGTGCTGCAGCAGTTGTGTGACTTTTCGAAACAGTCCTTCTCAGTGTATTATAATCTATTTCAGTCACTGTTGATTTCTGCCCACTGATGTTGTCTCCCCATGATTCACGAATGCTGACATAACCTCAGAAGTGGTCACTCTCCATACACCTAATAATGTGCCACTTTTTGTCACAGGTGCTCAATCTAAACATGCATCAACAATTTCTCCTCTTTCAAAATCAGCCAAGTCTCCCATTTTCTGATTCTTTCACATGGACTGTCACTTACACAACCAACAATGCACTGACACAAGCGGTATAGACTATAAACAAATGGAAGAGAACATTTAGTGTTGCCAACTTAAGTTCTTTCCCATAGCCAACACAAATTCTACATCTCAACTTCTTAGTATTTCAACCATACCTTCCAGTTCCATAAAAGCAGGGACTTTCTTGACCAAGTGAGTAAATATTCAACTTTGCAAGCAAGATTCCAAACTAAAGTGAAATCAGCTCATGACAAATTATTTTTATGGCATTAACACTTTTATGAAATATAACAATTGTCAATACTAATGCATGTCAAATCTTTAAGCCAAAGCCAGCTGACTCAAGCTGTTATTACTTCAACAGTATTCAGCAAATCCCACTAACATCCAAATATATTCTGAGCTCTAGGCCCCATTTACAAAAAATAATGAATTAGTTTTTAATCCCTTTATGCTTAAGGGATAAATAACTCACTTTCTAGATTTTATAGCATTACCTTTGGGCTTCAGCATTATATGCTTGTTCATTACTAATGTCTGTGACTTCTCTAGCAACATACTGGTCCTTGAGTTGTTTAAGTTCTGCTTTCAGTTGATCTCTCTCCCTTTCTCTCTCACGTGTCAGCTCATCCATTACTCGTTGTACTTGAACAAGTTCTTGTCGAAGCACAGCAGCATCATCAATACTCTCCCTTCAGAATTAAATTAACACATATAAATTGCTGTTCATATTTCTTGCATTTGAAAAGTAACCCTTTGGCACTCCCAGCACAGTACAACATAGTAGAATTATTTGATATTTTAGCTAGTTCATTTAACAACAACAGATGATATACAAATGCACTCATCTACATCATGCCATCTTCTGTGACATCTGTAAATTCAGAGCACTGCATTCTATCTTCAAGCTTACTCCTTCCTTGTTTGGCTTTCACGCGCTAGTCACATGTTCCTAGAGAGAGGTACTGTCCTGAAAACAAAACTGTCAATGTGGTCTAGCAGGCAGTTTCAGCTAAAAAGAAATGGGCATGAACTGCAATATGAGGTTGTTCTTATCATTTACATAACAGTTTTACAATTTTAAATACAGAACTATATAACACATTGCTCACGAAAATCACATCCTTAAAGATGTCAGTCTTTCCATCTGAAACACAGAGGTCAAGAATTAGACAATCTTTAAGTTTTTACATTTCCACTGTAAATAAGACCTTAATACAAATACTTTTAAATATTTATTTTCAAGCATTTCTTTGAAGAAAATATTAAATTAATGAAATTAAATTGTTTTTTTTTTTTTTAAAGAAAACAAGAACAATGCTTTTGTTACTTTTTAATAACTACTGCCTAGGCCTGACATCACTGCTTCAAAGGAAAGCACCACCCTGACTTGACTACAACCCTGCATCTGGAGTGTGCAATCTGAAGCCACACCAATACCAAAGTAAGGAAATGATTATTTTGTCCAATGATGAGGCAAGCCAATGCATTAATTTGTATTTCTGTTTTGTAATGGATATGCAAGGACCTAACAAAGTTAGTTCTTCAGCAACATTTAGAAATAGCAATAAAGTGTATCCACACATTTTGAATTTGAAATAAATTGAATTGAATTGAATTATCCCAGTATTTCTGAATACTGGTTATTATACATATAAGAAAAATATTCACTTATTCAGCAAAGTAAATTCTGAGATCTACATATGAGCACACATGAGAAAACCATGTGCCTATGGGGTATAAACAATGGAACAGTCTAAGAAATAAAATTTAGCAGAATAGACAGTATACCAGAAAATATCTAGATACAGGTGCTGTTAACAGTATGTGAAAAGTCACACATAAAATGATAAACAGCAATGTAAATAAATCCCTCATCATAAACCAATTTTTGGTAAGGGCTACAAAAGTCCAAATTTCAGACAAGGGTAGTTTCTTAGAACCCTAGAGACCACTAAAATTTTTGGAGTGATATATGAAGGTGATATTAAGGTTCTAATGTGACATTTTCTAGAATTTGTAACACAGATATTCAAGCCACTGAATGCAAATAAAAGATGTCACCCTTTTGAAGATGAGAAATCTGAATTTCCTAGTGTGTAAAGTAATATTCTAGTCTGAGTATACTCCCTGTAGTTACTGCCCACCTGAATATACAAACACTACAACTGGTTAAATAAATTTTCACAACAATTAACACTTTGCGGACCGGCAATTTAAATATTTAAATCACCCTGGGGACCAGCATTTTTAAACCTACTACCCTAACTTGTGCACTGTTCACTTTAAAAATTAATATAAAATCTCCTAATTAATTCTATGAACTAAAATTTTTGGAGAACACTTACCAATGCTCCTAGAAGTGCTTGAGAGTGTGATATTTCTGGAAACATTCCCCTCTGTGAAGTGGTATTACACAGTACTTGCAAATGTAGACAGTCATACTCCTTTTTTTTGTGAACTGTGCAAACACGGCATTGCCTAGGATGCTTCCCCTTGGATCGTTCAATCTTCACAATTTTCACGAGGGTATGTTTCCTCATATCACCCGAGAGTCACCCAGGGGGGTCCACATGAGGCATGCATGGAGTGGGAGTTGATGGGCCCAGCTGCACTAAGTCTGTGTCTGACTCTGGTTCTGCCACCACCATCCAGTCTGTAGCCCAGGCCTTTGCCACATTCATCAGAAATGCTTTGTATTTCAATTCTGAATCAGGGTTTAGATTTTTGTAAACCAAAAATGAATTGAAAATGGCAAAATTTATAAGCCACAAGGCAACTTTCTTTGTGCACTTTGTTTTCCTAGGAAGAGAATAATAGGCCAAGTACTGATCGGCTCTATCAACTCCCTTCATGAACATATTATACTCAGAAATACAAACAGGCTTCTTTGCTTGTCCATGTCTCCTTTGAATATCAACCATGCTCGAATTGTGAATTGTGGAAATCATATTCACAACACAAGTTTCCCACCAGGACTGAAGAATATCCTCCTTCCTCCTGAATGTGGTTCCACCATGTTTCAGGGATTTAGATTCCTCTTTCAAATCTGGAGGAAGGCCTCTGCTCACTCTAATTGTTCCACAAACATGTACTTTTCTTGAAAGAAGGTATTCTGCAGTTACCACACTGTTATAATAACTGTCTTGATAGACGTGGTAATTTTGATCAAGTAGGCCATACTTTGAAAGTTTCCCAGGATTATATGTTCACATATGAAGCCTTCCCCTCCAAGGAATCACAGATTCATCTAAAGACAGTTGTTGGTTTGGCATGTAAACTGTCTGAAATTTCTGAACGAAAAAGTTTAATAAGGGCTGAATTTTGAAAAGCCTGCTTGCTGATTGTGGTTGCAGTTCATTATTATTGAAATGCAAACACCACCAAATCTGTTCAAATCTCTTACAGCTCATTAGTTTGCCAAAAATGGGAATTTATAAAAATGGATCTGTTGACCAATACTCTTTTAGATTATCCCCCCTTGTATGCCCCATTAGAAAGATTATTGCAAATTTTTTTTTTCATTTCTGCTGAAGTGACATCCACCCACTTCAACATCTTATAACTTCTGTCATACTCTTCATGGCACTGGATATAGTATCTGTTAGTTTCCTGACATAACATGTAAAAGAAACTATCTCCAAAATACACTTCTGCTACTTCAGACACTTGCATTGGGTCCAATGGAATTTGTTTCAAACCCCCCGCCCCCAGACTTCCAGTAAACTGTCCCAAAGTAGGCGTTTTGTCTACTTTTCCCCATGTCACTGTCCCTGCAATGTTACTACCCGCACTTTCGTTGGAGCTACTGTCACTTTTACTGTCTGCGGCCACAATTCTTTGTTGTCCCGTCACTGCCACTGTCTGAGTCACTATCACTACACGTCTCACAAGGCGCGTCAGATAGCTCATCGGAGAACAAGTCAAATATTTCTTGTTCTCCGAGAGCTTGCTTGGTCTTCAACCGCTTTCATCCTTGATCTATATTGCACTACTAACTTACTGCCTGGTACATACAGCTTGAAGACGAACAAAGGCATTTTCCTTTGGAGTGGGATAGGAAAACAGCGAGGTCACGTTACTGACTACTAAGCAAACATTCGTGAGGTCTATTACGCACCAGTTATGCATCTGCGTGGCACCAGAGCAAGGTATAGTGTGTTGCAACATAACGTGTCCTAAAATCATAATATTATGCGACCAGTCCGCAAAGTATTAATGGTAGCAGTCCTTCAAAATTTTGACTGTCAAAACTCAATTATTGTTCAAAGACAATAATCAGGGCTAAAACTGTATAAGAAATCCCAAATTCAGACTTTACAACAGTGTTCATTATATAACAACCAATTCAGAGTAATGTGAATATTGATTTCCTAGTCTTAATGCATGTAAGTTACACATCACTTTTGCTGCTGCCAAAATAGTATTTCTGATAGAATCCTATACAGTTTAAATATGTACCAAATCCAAACAGTCAGTTTTCAAGAAATCACAGAAAACAAAATACATGCCTTCTTCTATTTTGAATATTTCGATAGCTCAAAGTTTAAACAGAATGATACACCTATTATACAGTGCATTCAGTTAAGGAGGAAACGTAGCAACACTGCTGACCTGGCCCAACATTCCTCACAGATTGCTGCTGTAACTGCAGATAGCAGAATGAGTCATTAGTGCTGATAAACAGGTGCAGTTACAGTTACAGTAGCAATATTTGAGAGATACTGGGCCCAGTCAACGGGGTTGCAAGTTTCCTCCATGATTGAAAGCCCCGTGCTAACACTGCTTATACATAAAAAAATACCGAAGGTCACTCACCCATCACTCACGAAGCTGCGCCCTTCTTGAGAAGCTGTCAAATGTGCAGGTTAAACTCAAGAGCTTCCCAGCATTTTACGGAACCTGAGGGTTCATTACCATGTTCACAAGAGCCCTCCACTGATCCCTATCCTGAGCCAGATAAAACCAGTCCATACCATCCCATCCTCTCTCTCTGAAAACCATCTTAATGTTGTCCACCCACCTATGTCTTGGTCCTCCTAGTGGTCTCCTTCCTTCTGGCTTTCCCACCAAAATCCTTTATACATTCCTCTTCTCCCCAATTTGTGCTACATGCCCTGCCCATCTCATCCTCCTTGACTTATACTTTTCGAAGAGCACAATTTATGAAGTTCCTCATTATGTAGTTTTCTGCAACCTTCCATCACTTCATCTCTTTGATCCAAATATTCTCCTCAGGATACTGTTCTCAAACACCCTCAGTCTATGTTCCTATCCTAATGTCAGAGATAAAGTTTCACATTCATACAGAACCACAAGCAAAATTATAGTTTTGTATATTCTAATTTTTATGATTTTAGACAGCAGATGAGAAGACAAAAGGTTCTGGATTGAATGGTAGCAAGCATTACCTAAATTCAATTTCCTCTTAATTTCCTCCTGAATCAGGTTCTGGTTTGTTATAGTTGTTCCCAAATATCTGAGCTGTGCCACATTTTCAAAACATCTGTCCGCTATCTTTATCTCATGATTTTGCCCTGCATTCTGGTAATGAGACAGCAGCACNCGAGGTGTAATGATTACCCTTGAGGTCTCTCTTGAGTAGAGGAAAAAAATAAAAATTGCAAGGCGCAAGATCGGGGGAATAAGGAGGGTGTGGAATCAGTTCAAACTTCAGGTTTCACAGAGGCTCTTCAGTTGCACGCAAGGTGTGTGGACGAGCGTTGTCATGTTGCAAGATTATTGGCGCCAGGCTGCCTCTAACATGACAAACTCGACGCCGGTGGTGTTTTAGAGTCTGTATGTACTGAGAAGAATTTACTGTTGCCCCTCGTTCCAGAAAATCGGTCACATAAACTCGGTTAGCATCCCAAAACACAGTCAAAAGAAGTTTTTTGGCGGATGGTTGTGTTTTGAACTTTTTCGCCTGAGCAGAAGATGGATGTCGATATTCAGTGCTCTATCTTTTCTCTTCCGGGTCGTAACGATGGACCCATGACTCGTCCCCCGTCACAATATTCAAAAGAAAGTCATCTCCTTCGTCACGGTAGCACTGCAAAAGTTGCTCACAGCATTCCAATCGATGCTGTTTGTTCTCATCTGTGAGACGGCGTGGTACCCATCGTGCACAGATTTTACGGTATCCCAATTGTTCAATATTGAAGCCGACACATTCCTTGGATATTCCAATATGGTTTGCGATACGCTTTTGAGTGATTCGCCGGTCATTTTGAATCAAATCATCGACGAGTTTGCGATGATTATTGTCTGTGGCAGTGATCAGACGTCTGCTGCGTGTTTCATTAACAATTATGGCTTTTCCAGGCTCGCAACCACGAAATTTTATTACCCATCGATTTACAGTAGACCTATCAACAGCATCGTCACCATAAACAGCCTTTAAACGACAATGAATCTCAGTAGGAGTCACTTTTTCAGCAGTTAAAAATTCGATAACAGCACGCTGTTTAACTCGCGTTGACATAGCACTATAACACGTCTCCATACTTCCGCTTCTTGAAATACACTGGATGAACGCAACGACCTCAAACCTGTGCATGCGTATTTAGGGGGAATGTTACTTCCACATGCCACCTGGCGCGCTTCTGAAGGTCATTTCGTTCGCGCTCTACAAGCATGTGTGCATTACTTTTCAGTCTACCTACGTATATTATCACCCAGGAGACTCACATCATCAGCATACACCAGAAACTGATGTAAAGTAAGTAAAAAAGTAAAGCTATCCCTGTAACAGGCCATGAAGGTCCATAGGGTTGTGAGACGAAGGTCCCACATTATCTAGACAATCAGCTCAAAGATGGCAGTAAGGCTGTCAGCCTTACACGATGGCCACGCTTTACTCCCCAGGAAAATTATTTAATTAATTCCTGGTACTCATTTCTGTTAGAGGCTGAGTCAACCCCAGGGCCATAGTGCGGATGGAAGGTTTAGGTCAATTGAAAAAAATCCAGTTACCTCATTCGGATTCGAACCCACGACCTTCCAGCTTGTAGCATAGCCCCTCAACTAACTACGATACCGCATGCCCCCCAGAAGCTGATGTATCCCATTTAATTTCAGTCCCATCTGATTATCCTGGACATTCCTAACGGTATATCCTAAAGCAAAGTTGAAAAGCAGTGGTGATAAGGCTTCTCCTTGTTTTAGACCATTCTGGATAGGAAAATTATCAGACAACTGTTCACCTATATGGGCTTTACTATATGTTTCATTTAAACATATTTTAATCAGCCTAACTAGTTTCATGGGTACCCCAGTCTCTATGAGAATACTGTACAATACTTCCCTCCTACCTGAACCATAGGTTTTCTTTGAGTCTATGAATAGCTGATGTACTGTCTCACTGTATGCACATTTTTTCTCCAGTATCTGACAAATGCGAAAGATCTGTTCAGCAATTGATCTGTTATGCCAACACCTACACTGATGATCCCCAATAATTTCATCTATATATGGACTTAACCTTGAGAGAAGAATATTGGATAAAATTTTGTATGAAGTTGATAGCAATGATATCCCACAATAATTATTACAGTCAGTTTTATCTCCTTCTTGTGAACTGGTACAATAACAGACTCTTTTCACTGACCAGAAAATTTTTCCTTATTCCAAACAGATTTAACTTATGGATCTTAGAATGTATTTCACCTCCTGCTTGAATCAGTCCTGCCAGAATTTGATCACTACCTGGTGATTGATATGTTTTCAATTCTGCAATAGCAATTTCAACCTCAAAAGAGCTAGAATCAGGTACTAAGAGCTCAGCTGTACATATTTCTATCTGCCTAACATCACTGACCCTATGGACATTCAATAACAGAGAAGTAGTTCTTCCACCTATTCAAAACGTTGTGGGAATCTGCAAGCAGATCACCATTCTCATCCTTCACTAAGTTACTTCTAGGTTGATAACCCCTCTTAAAGTCATTTATTCCTCAATACAGGTCTCTAATGTTCTCTATTCCACATCATAATATCAATAAATTTACTTGGACACCTCCTGATGGAAATCTTGGAAGTTGGGTTCAATAAAGGGCTTAGCTTAGCTTAGCATAGCTTAGCTTAGAAAAAGCACCTGCTTTGCTGATTTCTGTATGCAAGTTTCAGTTTTTGAGTGATAAGCCTGTTATTCATTCTGTTAAAATGTAGGAGTGAACTTGCAGCAGTTGAGAATAAGATGAAACCTAAACATGTCAATGTCAACTTGCAGCAGTCGAGAATGAGATGAAACTTAATTATGAGAATGTCAGCTTGCAGCAGTTGAGAATATGATGAAACTTAATTCTGAGAATGTCATCTACCTGTGAGCTAACTGTGCTTCCACAACTTTCAAACGTTCCTTCATTGCAGCTTGATTTCCTTCTCCTTCATCAGATGCAGCTTTCAAGGTAACATTATCACGTGCCAACTGGGCTGCACGCTGTTCCAGTCGTTCCTTCTCCTGTTGTAAGAGCATTCCATTTTCAAGTGCCTCCATCAGTCTCCTCTTCAGTTCAATTGGATCAGTAATAGCTGCAACAGTAACAGTAAGCAACTACAAAACAACTTCATGGTGCAGAATCCTTTATTAAAATCTGATTATCCCTCAGGTGGTCAAGAAATTTCCTCCTTTCTAAAAACACAAGGTTTTTTACCTTCATAAGAGCCTGTCACTGGCGAAACAAATTAAATAATATTTCTCAATTCAACCTATACATCTAAGACTAAATTATAAAAAAATATAAAAATGTAACAATACACTAAGCACAATGATTTAAAATATATTTCAGAACCAAAGAGACACTTAAATCAAAAGGATCTTCTGTTAATAGGGACTCCTAGACTAGAATATCATTTTAGTAAGATCTCATCTAATGTAAATGAAAATGTAACTGTCCTGTTTCTTATTGCATTCAATAAATAACACCTGAAGATATTACAAAACGTACTCCACACTTTTACCAGTATGTACAGTAGTCACAGCTGTGAAAGATATGTGCAAGCATGGCAGTAGAATTTTTGGATGCTATTTGAATTATCATTTCTAATCTCTCCTTAACTACATAAGTAAACTTAAATCTCTTTATTTGAGTGTTACTCCTCCATTCAATTTTTATCTATTATATACTGTGACAATGACAATGAAAACAAGCATAACCTTGGAAGAGAATGCAAATTTCTGCTCACACTTAATGCTCACAGCCCTGAACACACACACACACAGTGTACACATTTTATTTAACAGTCTGTTGAATCAACAGCTTCTGCTTATGATACAGAGAAATTTCATGCACAATTACAAACCAAATAAGCTCTTAGATTTTAAGAAACCTTGTCAAATAACAGGTCAAGAGATACACAAATCAATAGAAGAAAAAACGAAATATTTTAAACTTTACAGTGGTCAATGGTGTGATTATCAATCTAATACAATGCCATGTCTAATTAATCCTTTACTCCTCTTAACTTAGTGGAACATAACCAATATTAAAGAGACCCTACCCTACTAACACAGTGTGAACTGTGGTTCATTTTATGGCCAAAAAACATAGTACTGAATGGTACAATCACTGAAGTAAAATGAATTCAAAACGATTTGAAAGGAAGCACTCACAGCCTAATTGGGGTAAATCCAGGAATTCGCCTGAAAAATAATTAATATATGCACGTGGTAATATAGTTTTTCTAAAGAATTACATTCGGTTATTACAATTTGTTAAATTTATCTTCATCTGTCTATCAACATTTTTCTCTGCAAAATTTAAATCTGTTTCTCAAAATATTGTTCTCCATTTCGACAAATCACCATATATTAATATAATTAATATATTAAAAAATTTAGAAGAAGGGTAAGAAAGAAAAGGACTAAGTTTCTCTTTCAGCAAAAATCTTCATACATCTAAATTGTTCCAAATTTGTTTAAAAGACTTGTCAGTACATAAGCAAAATTTATGTATTCTGTGTATAAGAAAAAAAAGAGATGAACAAATTTATTACACAGAATTACTGAAGGTATGCATTAAAAATTCCAAAAACTAATGTGAAAAAAAAAATTCTATTGTTTTTTTTTGAGTGAATATGAAATAATGCTAATGCTAGTGATTTTCCCAAGTTGATGTGATGTGACACCTCAAAACATCTTCTTATGGACTTGTCTTTCAGAGATGGCACCATGTACATGTGGTCTGTACTGCAAACATTTTGAAGATCTCTGTCTCCAGCATCAAGATTAAATGACCGTTTCTAATACCTAATTTAAAATTTCAGTGGTCAGCGGGAAGCACATACCACTTCTGACAAAGCCTCCCTCTTCACGGTCATTAGAAGCCAATAACTACACACATGAACACAGTCAACAGACAAATTAAAACACATCCTACCACTTATATTAACCAAAGGCACAACAGATCATTGTGGTCAGGGTGCAAGGGCCAAGAAGGTCCATTCCTTATACATTCATATATTAACCAAAGAACTGATTTTTGTAATTGGTGTAATAATAAGCAGCATCATTACCAAAAACATAGACATAAATATTAGACACTAACTGGCCTCGCCATAGCTCAAGTAGTTAGTTGCTGGCTTCCCACCGCGGCGGCCTGGGTTCGATCCCGAGTCTGGTGGACAAAGTGGCGCTGGGGCAGGTTTTCTCCAAGTACTTCGGTTTCCCCTGCCAATCTCCGTAACACCAAATTCTCCATCATCATAATCACCCGGGGCAGGTACACTAGGCCACTCAGTGGCCGCCATGCCGAGTGGACCCAGTTGGACTCCATCCCCCATTAAGTGAATTAAAAAAAAATCAGAAACTAATTATTCATATACCTTGTACATCAATAATTGAAGTGTCTTGTGTGTAGTTTCCTTCCTAAAATAAAACAAAATAAGAAATGCAAATTAATCCAGATATCATGTCACAGAATTGATGTTTCATAAGGGTAAATAATTTCTCCACAGTACAAAGGAATACTTGAGACGACAACAACTAAAGTAATTCCCTGAAAATTATTCTGATAAATACTGACTCCTGTAAAAAAAACAACATCCACAATCTTTCTTTTCAAAGCATATGTTAACATCAGTAATTGATATACATCACATACATCATTACTTGTTCAGCTGTGGTGGTAGCGAGACAACAGCAAAATCATACAGTAAAATCTACTTACCTATATCACTAGAAAAATATAAATATCCCCCAATCACCTCATACATTTCCCACATTTCTCAACATAACCTGGCTCACACATTGCATTTGTTCCCTAGAACTACAGGTCATTTCAAACCAAATGTTTTCTAGCTGGGCCTTCCTTCCGTATGTAGATCAGTTCGATAAGCTTTATCTTTTAAATACCCACACACAAAAATTCACTTGGTGAAACATCAACTGACCATAAACCACAGCACATACCTTTTGCTGTCTAGTCACTAACACATGACAATATTTTTTTTCATCTGAAATATGCTGCCTTGCATTGTATCTCAGAGTTAACTGCTTCCACATAAAACACAGAATCAACATTCCTCCTTGCACTGAGCACAAAAAACACCACCTTTTATATTATGTAGCTGAACTCTTTGCCAAGATGAGCCTTTTCTGAGCTCCAGTATTTGTTGTTTTATGTGTACACACATCCATTCAAATGAACTCAAAACATCACGTGAAAAAATTTCAACTTGGAACTGAGTTTCCCACTGTGGACTGCAGATACCAGTTACAGAAATTAAATTTGGTTACTAGATCACATGCCTGGATAGAGTGCACAGCCATAGTTTTATAAGGCAATGGTGTCAATAACTGTCTTGCAGTTTTCACAGTCTCTTTTGATATTCCTCTGTTGTACAAGGGATTTGCTGAAGCCAAGCTCCAAAACCATTCAATGTCCCTTCTCTTAATACTCTATGTCAGTCTTTTGGTATCCTGTTTATTACTACACCAGTTATTCTTACTTTTCTCACAAGATTCTGAATAGTGACTCTGTGATGAACTCAAAACCTGGAAAACTTTCTTCTGAATATCCTCTGGTTCTTCCTAGCAGACTTACAGATTTGAGTCACACAGAAACACTTGATGCTATAGTGTAAACAAATCCATACACAGGATGTAATGCAAAATTTGGATTTCTAGACAATATAAAAATGAATGAATGAATGAATGAATGAATGAATTTTCCACAGCATTGAGCCATGTGTGAATACCATAAGGATGCAAAACATCATCTTCTATCACCACAGCTGATGGACCAAGAAAGCCAGTGAACATGCATGGGCACTAAACAGTCCCTGTACTGTAATGACTACCCTTAAACTGAAGTTTATTCACTAATTAAAACAGTGTACTATGCAGTATATTCACTCTAGTTCCAATGTATTTTGAAACAACTGTTTATGATACCTTTTGTCATCAAACATGTTCCAAAAAGCAGTTATGGTGCATCCTGCCCAAAAATAAATCAAATCTTAAATGTACTCTGAAACTAATTTACCAAAATAGCGAAGTAAAATGCTCCAACACATACCTTCAAGTTGTTACAAACCAATTAAACTTTCATGAAGGAGTATGAAGCTGAGCTCTTCAGAGCTTTCATGTTTCTTTCATATAATGCTCAATAGGTAAACTTCTGTTTCAATACTCCCACAAACGCTAATCAGATGTCACAAATTGGTATGCTAAACAGTATTAAAACATCTGACTGACAACACAGTAATTCCACATTAAATGCTCCAGGCACATTCCTGGAGAAGAAAATTTTGAGAGAATCCAACAAACACTACATCGATAATGATACCAGTTTCTTACCTGATACATGATAACTTAACTGGTTAATTAATGTTACCACTCCATAATGTGCTAGAATGTATTTTTTAGTTAACTGACACAGTCTTGGAACTTTGTGAATTACATTGCAACAAATTATATGTCTGCATATACCGTGATTCAGGCTCATCAAGAAAATTGGCTCAAGCAACAGTACTTCCCAACTGTATTCGGGTGGTGTCAAACTGGATTCTTGGCCAGGGCATCAATTATAATCACTGACACATTTCATGTTTCTTCTAGGTCACTCCAGGCAAATGCTAGGATTGTATCTTAAACTGAGCCATGACCACTTCCTTTCATATCCTTTTCAGCTCATTGTTCTTCATGGAACATTGTGTAGTCTGAATTACTGACAGTGTTACTAAATAAACTACAAATAAACAGATTCAAACTCTGAATGATTCTGTCTCGGATACAGTTTCTTGCTATCTCCAATTTATCTCCAGCGCTACCAGTGACATATCTTTTCCACGTGTTCAGATATTCCAAAACGTTCTTAAAAGTGACAAAGTGACTCTAAGCTATAGTGCACATGAATATTTCAATTGAAGCAGCCGAAGCTAGTCCTGACCGGTAATGTGTGACTAGTTACAGCTCACAACATGACAGGTGATGGGGCATAACCTTTCAGATTCATGGAAGAGCTTGTGGGAGCCTACCACAACTCCAGGCCAACTACCAACTTCTGGTCGACTGGCAGAGCAAAGCAAGCACTTGCCAATCAGCGCGGACCATGGCAGCACCAACACTTTGGGCCAAGCACCGCTAGCAATAGCAAATAAAGATGCAGACCACATCATGCTAGTCAGTCAGTTACAGCTACTTTTACTTCACAACAGCATCAGAAGCGCACATGGAATACCAACCCTCCTAGCAGCAACGCCGCCAACCAACTCGAAAAGTGGTAGCCTCACCCCTTGGGGATCCCTCTGCCAGCACCTGCCGCTCTACAGCCGGCCCACAATCACCTGGCTACCACACACAGAAAGACTGCTGTTGCTCACGCAATCCAGCTCGCTGCAGCCACAGCTTTACTGGTATTCATCAAGAATTTACGTGGTTGTCTCTCCAAATACCGGACCTGACATCCCAAAAGCTTAACAGCAAATGAGCAGCTTTCAGGAGGGTATTACTATAGTCTAATCTGCCCTGGACAGTAAATTCATGTTTCACATACCTGGTGTTTGTATCTTTCACCCACTTCCTGATGTAGCGAGAGAAAGTCTAGAGCATTACTCACGGCAGGAATATCTGGTATGGCTCCCTCTCCATCTGTCAAAATCAAACACAAAAATAATGCAATTCTGTCTCTACAGTAAACTGTTGCTTTTATAGTATGCAAAAACAGAAACTGATTTTTATGAAACTGAAACTCTTAATACAGGGAGATCAAAAATTCGCGCACGTCAACTAAAAGTTGTTATAAACTGTATTGCAGTTAATATAATTACCGTATTTACGCATGTATAGGCCGCGTGCGTGTATAGGCTGCAGCACAATTTTCAGACAGAAATTATAGAAAAAATCATTTTCTTGGAATATTATTTCAGGAGTATTACCCTGTATTACTAATTATGAATATAATTTTTTTTTTAAATGAAGTGTGATTTCGAATATTTCGAATATAAGCCGCACCCCAGTTTTCCTCTTGAATTTTTGGCAAAAAATGTGTGGCCTATACATGCGTAAATACGGTAGTTGTGTTCTGATGGTTTTAATAAAGAAATTGTACATTATAACACAACAGGATGTATGAAATGAAAATTATAAGGGTTTGAGATGTCAGATATTACATTAGGCATATCAGAGCAAGGGACAAGTATGGACCCCTGAGGGACTCCAACAGTAACAGGTTCCCACCTAGAGTAGTATTTACTTGAGTTATCATTAACTAACACTCTCTGATATCTAGCTTTTAGATATGATTTTATTAAGTTATAAGCTGTTCCTGTAATCCCATAGAATTCCATTTTGAACAACAAAATATCATAATTAACACTATCAAATGCCTTATGAAGATCGCAGAAAATACCCCCAACTAATAATTTACTATTTAATGCTCTTAAGATATTGTTAAATAAGTGATAACATGGGCAATCTGTCAACAATGCTTGCCTAAAGCCAAACTGTTCATTAACAAGACTATGATTATCCTTAATATGTTGATATAATCTATTATAGAGTACTTTTTCAAAAATCTTAGAGAGTGATGTGAGGAGCGAAATAGGTCTATAATTAGATGTGTCATTTTTGTCTCCTCTTTTAAATACAGGTCTTATTTCTGAAAATTGCAATCTTGTTGGAAAGCTGCCAGTAATCAACATTATATTACATATATAAGTTAAAGGAGAAGAAATACGAGTATAGGGAATACTACTTCTTACAATTTTTTTTATATCCCGTCGTATCCGTATGAGTTCTTTATTTTTAGTGACCTTGTTATATCTTCTATTTCTTTAGGTGACACCCATTTTAAATTTATAGCAGGAAAAGGTCAGGTAAATGCCTTGAATAAGTAAGTTTTAGAATTTGCATAATCTGACCATTGCGAGATAAATTACCATTCACCTTTATTCAAAATATATTATGGACATTTGGTTTTATGTTAGAGTTATTTTTTACAATATTCCACATAGTTTTTGCTTTATTCTTTGAACGAGTTAAAATACTATTGTAATATCTTTGTTTTGCTGATTTAATGATACTTGATAATATTTTACAATATCTCTTATAATAGTTGTTCAAAATTGGGTCATTACTGCTTCTTTGAGCTAAAAAAACCTTCTTTTATTTGTACAGTGAAACCTCGCTTAACGAGCACCTCTCATAACGAGTAATTCGCATAACGAGCAAAACAAATTGTAAAAAAATGACTCGCTTAACGAGCAGGGGAAGTCCCGGATTGTGCGCTTGCTACATCAGTCTGTGTTTAGCACTCGTTCTGCTAGCATCTTAGTGTCACTTGTGATCACACATTTTTCCAAACTTGTGTTCAGACATATTATTTGTGATTTTTTTTTGTGCAAAGTTTAATAACCCTTGCAAAAATGTCCCTGAAGAAAAAGACACAAGAAGACAGCCATAAGAGAATAAAAATAACCATAGAAATGAAACGTAAAATCATTGAAAAGCAAGAACAAGGTGTGAGCGTGGCTGATCTAGCACACACATACAATTGGTCTACATCAACGATTTGCACG